CACAAAGATAATGAGCAATCGATTCAAATTGAAAACCAACATTACAAAAACCCGCGTAACCCCTCGATGCGTTTCTCTACCCCGTGATGTAGACTCTTCGGGAGGATTCAAATCCGATCGAACCCATCAAAAGCAGTGAGGCCATTCCTAATGCCTTGCCCCTTATATACTATCCCACACACACTCTTCCCCAGCAAAACCCCTCGCCCCTCTCATCAAACACCAGTTGCCTCCCTACTACCGAGTCGAAGATGCAGCACCTGATACGAAATCCGGTCATCTATAGCCGCAGGAAATCGAAGACAGAACGGCCAGAACCTAGGAGAGCGAGCCACGCTGCCGTATAGTACCTGCACAGACAAACACAGACAAGCACAGCACAAACAAGCAACAGGGAAGCCGCACCTGCAATCGCCAAAGTCTTCCAAGAGAGAACCAAGTAGAAGCGATGCCATATTCCAAACTGTCACTGAACTCCAGCAGAGCTTACAACCATCGCCCAGCCGGAAGTGCGGCGCCTCTGGTGGCAGAGCAGTGACTGAATGCACAATGGTCGCCTTCGATGAAAACTCTGAAGAAGATGAAGCCGAGAGCCAGCGTTCAAGCGGCGTAGCCACCATGGAGTGCAACCGTCATTGCACGATCACGAGTTGAGTACGAAAGGCATCGTGCCTCCAAGCGACAGAGTATATAGTATGACCATCCTGTGTCGAGCTGTACTGGGCACCATTAGATAGGCGGGAGAACAGAGGTTCCGAAGAAATCCCGACTGATACTGGCCGGCCCATAGAGTACCTGCATCAGATAAAGCTGGTACGCAACTGATACATGCTCGGTAAAAGTCGAGCAATGTAGATGGAGCCAAGGATCAGCAAAGTGATGATACGGACTCAAATGGACAATGCAGCATCATCGAAGCATCAACAAACAATGTACATCCATATACACACAAAAATAGCACAATGTAGCGCAGCGGAGGACTCAAAGATATGACCTGACCTGTCAGATACTGATGCGACTCAACCCATCACACACCACACATGTGAGAGAGGAGGGAGGGACCGCACACATGGACAAAAGGTCCCTCCTTGGACACACACATGGGGAGGTACCACGGATGAGGTGAGGGAGGAGGAGCAAGACGAAGATGGAGATGAGGGAGAAGACCAAGATCGCAATAGCGGGGTCCAAAAATAGTCTCCCTGCGGAATGTCCAATCAATGTCTGCTGCTAATGTCGAATCAGATCCTGGGCCTCATAGCCCGACATAACCTCTGCGTGTAACCTCTCTCTCTCTCTCCCTCTCTGGAAGAAGAAGAAGAAGAAGAAGAAGAAGAAGAGGAAGAGGAAGAAGAAGAAGGAGAAGTGGAGGGCGAGAACAGGAAGAAAACGAAGATGTCGTCCTCTCTGCTGTCTCACCTGCAGGTAACTGCCGCCATGTACTAACGAGCGCCATGCTCCTCTGTGCTGTAGGTCACTGGCGCAGGTACCAGCTATGGCGCCCAGGTAAGCTGCTCGCTCCTCACAGGTATGGCCACCGCGTCCCAACCTCGCTCTCCCTCTGCACCTCTACCTCTAGTCCTAGCGCAGCGCTGTATTGCGCGCTGCTCGAGCAGCGTGTCGCTCAGAAGTGAGCGACTCGAACTGTGTCCAGAACTGGACTGGCCCAGCTATCTATAGCGCTAGGCCTGGCTGGTGTGCCCGTGGCCTGCAATCTGGGCCGCAAGATTGTGAGCCCGATCCACGGCCCAGGTTGCAGAAAAAAGTCCTGCTCCTCTGGTCCTGGCCTTAAACAGCCTGCCTGGGTCCCTACCGGACATCCAGGCCCGCCCTGCTGATGCAGCAGGGAATGTCCGCTACCGGACGAAACTGAACCTCGCCCAAAAGGGCCCAATCGTGAACCTGCCTGAAGGAGGGGTGCTAAACGTGGCCTAGGTCCGAACAAGCCACCAGTCTGTTCAGACATCTGCAAGTTTGAAATGACGTCCTGAAGAAGACAAAAATAGAACAGACAATGAGTCAGCAAAATAAATAAATAAATAGATAAATAAATAAATAAATAAATAAATAAATAAATAAATAAATAAATAAATAAATAAATGAATTTAATGAATGAATGAATATGCTGCCTCAAATCTGGGCCTGCGGCCTGAAAAGTGGCCATGGGCCTCCAGGTCGCGTGCCTGGGATGGGCATGCGGCCTGGGGCCTCTCAGCAATTGTCGGGCCCCCGAAATGGGCCCCTTGTGCAGCCACAGCACGCAACACCCCCCCCTCCTTATGAAGTCAAGCCGGGGCAAGGAAGAAGCTGACGATCCGATGGTGGAACCTGGACGCGAGTACGGTGTGGAGCTGACGGTGCCGGCTTGCCTTGCTGTTTGCGTTTGTAATGTGCGAGGACGTCGGGGGGCGTAGCCTGGAGTTCCCGCACGGGTCAACCAATGGTCAGCCTCATGGCTACAATAGGAAAAGTGTACCAAGTACTCCATCGGCTTGTTGCCGTAGCGCCGCTGCGAAATGATGTCGCCGACCTCCTGAAAACCATCCATGGAGGGTGGGTCGTGCGATCGTCGCCCGGAGAAGTCGTCGCGTTCCGCCGAAACGAAAACAGCTAACTTCGAACAATGAAAGACTGGGTATACGGGCAAGTGGGCGAGCACCTGAATTACAAACGAGGGTCCTTCGGGTGCGTCACCAGCGGGCGCTACAATCCGCAAAGGCCCCATCCATTTCGGGAGGAGCTTGCGAGAGATATCCTGCTCGAGGCTAACCTTCGCGGCGGAGACCCAAATGAGGTCGCCTGTGTGGAATGGGCAAGGGCGATGCAGGCGATTGGCTTGCCGGCTCATGCGCTGCTGCGTCTTCGACATCTGGTCCCGTGCCTTGAGAAGGAGCTCTTGCATTTGTCGAATGAAGACAAGGTGGTTGTCGGTGTTGGTCGCCCGTGGGATGATGGTGTCCAATGGCGACGTGACCGGTGAGCCATGCTCAAACTCAAAGGGCGACATCCCGATAGCTGGATAAATAGACGAGTTGTATGCCAACTCCCGCAACCGCTCGACCCAATCCTTTTGATCTGGCCGGATGAGTACGAAAGGCATCGTGCCTCCAAGCGACAGAGTATATAGTCTGGCCATCCTGTGTCGAGCTGTACTGGGTACCATTAGATAGGCGGGAAAACAGAGGTCCCATAGAAATCCCGACTGGTACCGGCCGGTCCATAGAGTGTCTGCCTCAGAAAAAGCTCGTACAAAACCGAGAGAGCCAACGGACAACTTACTGAGTACAGGTGGCACGAGCAAGACGAAGTACATCCTGGCCCTTGGCCGGTGGACCCCAGAAAAAAGGAAAAAAAAACGAAATCCACCGCAAATCGTAAATCCCCCAAAACTGGAAAATTGATGCTAAAAAAGGTCCCCTTCCATGATGCCAAAGTACCAAAAGCAAACCAATCTGAGACCCATACTGTTACATCTTCGACGCCACACGGGTCCTACCGGACCCGACTTAGGGCCAGAGGGACACAGCAAGGCCTAAAGGCACGGACTTGGGGTACAGCAGGCCGTAAAGGCCACAGCTTTGGACCAGACCCGACGGGCAGGCCCAAACGACATTACCGTTTGGGCCTGGCGGCGCTTTTGAGGCTGCCGCCCGCCAGTCTGATCTGAACCGTCGATCTTGACGGTTCAGGTCACGGCCAGGCCTCGCAGCATTGAGGCCGGCCTTTTTTCCACCGGTACAAAAGACCGGTCCAGCCTCAGTATGAGGCATCAAACACTGGGACGCTGCTCGAGCGCCAGTCGTATCGGTTCAGCAGCAGGAGCAGCGCCAGCGCTATTCTTAGCGCAGCAGCGGCGAGCAAGGAGCCAGGCAGCACCCATCAGCAGCGCGGCGGCCATAGCCGCCATCGACCTGCACTCGGATACAGCCTAAGCCAGGTACCAGGAGGCGAGGGGTTTCTTCCTCCCTCCACGGCCCCAGGCTCTCTCTCCTCCTCACCTCCTCCTCCTCTGCCATCTCTTCTTCTTCTTCATCTCTTCTTCTTCTCCTTCAGACTTCTTCTTCTTCTTCTTCTTCTTCAGACTTCATCTTCTTCTTCTTCAGACTGGAGACTTGATACTAGTTGGACAGAGATCAGTGTTGGACTTCGGTGGTAAGAGGCTGTGGCACTCACCGGATTCGAGACTTGGAGATTGTTGGGGTTGATACTCGGCGGCATCACAGATTGGACACCGGTTACATTAGGACTCTGTATCTCCGACATTGGTGACTTATTGTCCAGGACATTTTGATCTTGTTCGATGGCATTTTGGACTACCATATCGGTGACCTACTGGATTCTATCTCGGTGACATCTGGTGCTACCTACATCTCCCACCTCCTTCGTCTCTCCTCCCACCTCTCATCTGTGTATGTTTGTACGGGGCCTGAGCATCATCTGTGATTGGCTCAGACCCCACCATCTCACGATTGTTTGTGTGTGGACTGATATCTATGTGAGTCAGTCCATTATTCAGACTTCCGCTGCATACATGCTCATCCTATATTGGTTGATCTTTGGTTCTGCCTCATACTCGTTGAAGTATTCACGAGTATGTAACACATACCCTAATGTCAAGGCAAAAAAGAGTACCTACTAAAATACAGGGCCGTGAAGGCCTGCTTGGCAACGAGCCAAGACCCCTCTAGCCAAGGGATAAGGCGACATGCCAGACATGAGACGGGTGGAGCTCACAGTGGCCACCGAGGGCGACAGGATCTGGCGGTGTTGAGGTTTTGAATGGGTGTTTGTGTTTTGCAGCTCTTTTTTTTCTTTTAAAATACTTTGGCCGAAACTATAAGCTGCCTCCCATTGGCTGTCAAAAAAAAAAAAGAAAATGCAAAAGTTTCTGGAAGGGCCGTTTTGTTTCTAAGTTCTAACCCATGAATTGATTGACTGGGCTGATTTGCTGTGTGATTCCTGGACATACATTGTGGCATTGGGCACTCGACACATGGCAGATATAGCAGCAGTGAGCTTGACAGGTAACGTAATATTACTCGTCGCTTCTTGTACTCTGAATGAACACTGAACTCTGTGCACCATGTGAACTGATCAAGGGAAGAGAGCTTTGAGTGCGCCTCTACTGCTCATTACTTATGTCATATGGTTGTACTGCTCATTAAATAGTGTTTCTTACAAAAGAGTCTTGCTGTGTTTTGCTGTTTACCTTCCGTGTGGAACAAGAGAATTGTGAGTCCCACAAAGCTATGATCATCCATCTAATCAATCAATTCATCTAATCAATCCATTCATCTAATCAATCCATTCATCTAATCAATCTACCTATCTGATAGATCTGATCTATTTACTTTCTCTCTCTCTCTCTCTCTCTCTCTCTCTCTCTCTCTCTCTCTCTCTCTCTCTCTCTCTGTATTTCTCTCTCTCTGTATCTCTCTCTCTCTGTATTTCTCTCTCTCTCTCTCTCTCTCTCTCTCTCTCTCTCTCTCTCTCTCTCTCTCTCTCTCTCTCTCTCTCTCT